AGGTTTTTTCTCCTCTGAAAACCCTCCCCACTAACTTTGCTAAAACTATCTGGAATTTTAGTTATAGGTTGTCTTTTTCTCTTTTTCTTTTTCACACTCTCCCCTTCTGCCCTCCAAATCCTCTCTGAACAATTGCTTTAAACTTTGTAGTCACATTTGAAAAATGTTAAAGACTTGATGACAAATTCTTCTGGTATTTATTCTGACCAGTTCTTTGTAGTCCATCTCTTTCTATTTTGTCAATTCTTATGCTTTATCTTTTTCTTTCTTTCTTTTTTTAAATAACAGCCTCAGTGAGATAAAATTCTCATAGTAGAAAATCATCCTTTGAAAGTATATAACTCAGTGGTTTGGGATATATTTACAAAATTGTGCAGTTATCATGTATTATCTTTTTTTATTAACATATAATGTATTATTATGTATTTATCTTTTAACTGGAGCACTTATTTAAGAAGAATTTCATAGTATTATGTCTGAAAGTATTTCTTTTGTCTTCATACATTACTCTTAGTTTGTTGGGGGGTTAAGACTTATTAAGTTATATAAAACTTTCCATTTCCATTATATTTCCATATATATTTCTTCATTCAGTGTTGCAGATGAGAATTCTGATGCCAAATTAGAAATGATGTCAGTCTCATGGTCTTTATTTGTTATTATTTTTTAAATGGTCTTTATTTTATAAATTTTATTTTATGAAATCTGAGAGGTCATAGGATTTTCCTTTTATCTTTGGATTTGAGAAATGTCAGCAATTTTTTCACAAATCTTGCCTAGCACTTGGTAGCCTTTTTAATTTGAAGACATAGATTCAATGAAGAATTTTTCTATCTTTGATTTTTGCTCCTCTAGTGGTTATATTTTCTTCTATTTAACCATTTTGATTTTCTGTACTAATCAAACTAGTATTTATTAAAAAAAATGTTTTTTAAAGATTTTATTTATTTGAGAGAGAGAGAATGAGAGACAGAGAGCACGAGAGAGAAGAGGGCAGAGGGAGAAGCAGACCCCCTGCTGAGCAGGGAGCCCGATGTGGGACTCGATCCCAGGGCTCCAGGATCATGACCTGAGCCGAAGGCAGTCGCTTAACCAACTGAGCCACCCAGGCGCCCTATTTAAAAAAAATTTTAAAGATTTTATTTATTTGAGAGAGAGAGAGAAGTGTGAGAGGGTACAAGCAGGGGGAGCAGCAGGCAGAGGGAGAAGCAGGCTCCCCACTGAGTAGGGAGCCTAATGAGAGGCTCGATCCCAGGACCCTGGGATTGTGACCTGAGCTGAAGGCAGACGCTTAACTGACTGAGCCACCCAGGGGCCCCTAATCAAACGGTTATTATATCCTCTTTCTGCAATCATACAGAATTCAGTAGAAGTTTAGTTTTTTTAAGAGCCGATCTCAGATACAGAGTAACAATGGCTTAAAAACAAGAAAAAGAGGGTTTTGCGAGGAGAGATGGAAAATACTAGGAGTTAGGGTAGTTTTGGGTTTGTAGGTAGTTTTATTTTTATTTTTTTATTATGTTAATCACCATACATTACATCATTAGTTTTTGATGTAGTGTTCCATGTTTCATTATTTGTGTATAACACCCAGTGCTCCATTATGTAGGTAGTTTTAGACACATTCCAGTTTTAAGTATTTATGAACTCACATTTAAGCTTGTGTTTGCATAGCTTCATCTGTAAAGAGGGAAAAACATTACAATCTTTATGGTACAGTTACATGCATTAGATTATTACAATTTATTGAAAAAATAACCAGGTGTTTTACTGACATACTCTTATTTATTCTTTATTAACAACACAAGAGGTGGGCTTATCATGATTCTAGATTATATAGATGAGGATGTTGTGGCTTCTGTGTATTAAGTGCCTGACCCAACATTCCCTAGCTAATTAGAATTAAAGCAGGGGTTTAAATAAAAATCTGAAACCTGGAGGCACCTGAGTGGTTCAGTCTTTAGGCGTTTGCCTTCGGCTCAGGTCATGATCCCAGGATCCTGGGATCGAGCCCCGCATTGGGCTCCCTGCTCGGCGGGAAGCCTGCTTCTCCCTCTCACACTCCCCCTGCTTGTGTTCCCTCTCTTGCTGTGTCTCTCTCTGTCAAATAATAAAATCTTTAAAAAAAAAAATCTGAAACCATCCCTCTCAGCCCACTTGAAATATTTAAATAATCTAAATAATTATTCAATTGAATTCAACTGCTATTTGAATGGATTTGATTGATGCCATCATTTTTCAAAACTTAAAATCTATTCATGCTACACACTCACTTAAAATATAGTACACTGACTTATTCACACAGTAAGATCTGGATCCACAAATAAGGCCAAACAAGACCAAATTTAAAGGTTAGAAAACTGGAGTTCAGGGGCACCTGGCTGGCTAAGACGGTAGAGTATGCAGCTCTTGATCTTGGGGTAGTGAGTTCAAACCCCCCTTTAGGTGTAGAGATTACTAAAAGTAAATAAACTTAAAAAAAAAAAGAAAACGAGTTCATTTATTAGCCTCAGTAGTTCTGTGAATGAAATGCAAATATGATGTATGTGTTTTTCTCTGGGATTCTACTGCTTTTATAAAGTGGTACGTGATCCAAATTGGTTAAAAATCGTAAGTCTGGATGGAGGTTCCTCAAAAAATTAAATATAGAATTACCATATGACCAGTAATTCCATTACTGGGTATTTACTCAAAGAAAATGAAAACACTAATTAGAAAAGATCTATGCACTCCTGAGTTTTTTTTTATGCACCCTTATGTTTATTGCAGCATTATTTACAATAGCCACGATATGGACGCAACTCAACTGTCCATCGATAGATGAATGGATAAAGAAGGTGTGGTATATACGTACAATGGAATATTATCCATAAAAATGATTGAAATTTTGCCATTTGCAACACCACGGATGGACCTAGAGGCTATATAATGCTAAGTGAAATAAGTCAGAGAAGTACAAATACCATATGATTTCACTCATATGTGGAATTTAAGAAACAAAACAAATGAACAAAGAAAAATAGAGATAAACAAAAAAACAGAATCTTAAATACAGAGAACAAACTGATGGTTGCCAGAGGAAAGGAGGTGGGGGCGATGGGTGAAATAGATAAAGGGGATTAAGAGTACATTTATCTTGATGAGCATGGAGAAGTGTATAGAATTGTTGAATCATTATATTGTACACCTGAAACCAATACAATGATGTATGTTCATTATACTTCAATAAAAAAACCATAGGTCTGTTATCTGTCTTCTCTAAAACTCTAATCATATGAAAAGTAAATTACTAGATAAGGAAAGGTGAGTCACAAATGTGAGCCACATATATACAAAATTTTCTCATAGCCACATTAAAAAGTTAAACAGGTGATGTTAATTTTAATTATATATATTATATGCCCCATGTATTGAAAATAACATTTCCATATACAGTCAATATAAAAAATTACATATAATATTTTATGTTCTTTATTGTGTCCTAAGTCTTTAAAATCCGGTGGGTATTTTACACTTCTAGCGCATCTCAGTTTGGATTAGCCACATTACATGTGCACATTACAGGTGCCGTGTGGCTGTTGGCTACTGTAGTGGACAGTGTGGGCAAACCTTATGTCAGTTGGAAAACTTTAAATGTTGTAGAAGAGTACACTAAAATAACACCTCACATAATTGCCCCAAATGATACCAATGAATTAAGTCCAAGTCTTGTCCTAGCCTAAAAATAAAGTGATTTGTAACTTACTATATTTTGTATAGTAAATGACAATACATGTTAAGCACTTAGGGGAGTACTTAGCTTACAATGGATGCTCCATAAATATTAACAACCATGATTTAAAACAATTACTTTTTTTCCCATTTAACAAGCAATATTTTTTTATTTCTAAGATTTCTTTTTCATTCCCAGGGAGAACCTTATTTAAAAAGGGCAGGCTAGTTTGTGCCAACATAGATGAACCTGGAGGGCATTATGCTAAGTGAAATAACCCAGAGAAAGACAAATATGAGTGGTAACACTTATATGTGGAATAAAGAAAAAAACAACAAACTCATAGAAACAAGGTAGAATGGTGGTTGCCAGCAGCTGGGTGGAAGAAATGGGGAGAGGTGGGTCAGAGGATACATCCAAACTTCCAGTTGGAAGATGAGCAAGTTCTGATGATCTAATGTATAGCATGGTGACTAGAGTTAACAATACTGTATTGTATACTTGAAATTCCTGTGACTAGATCTTTAGCATTCTCACCAAAAGAAAAAAAAAGGTAAAATAAAGTATGTGAGTTGATGGATGTGTTAATTATAAAATGGTTGCCATAATTAAGTTAATGTATGCACATATCACATTGTATACTTTAAATATACTACAATTGTATTTGTCAATTTTACCTCAGTAAAGCAGGAAAAAAATTCCATGTCACAATTAAAAAAAAAATTAATAATGAAAGAAAAAGGGCAGGGTCTTCCTTCCTTCCTTCCTTTTTTTTGATATATTATCCTCCTACCTCTTCCAGAGAATAAAGAAAAAATTTAAGGTTTTATTCCCACTCCCCTTTATTGGGGGTTATTTGCTCTGAATGGTCCCCTGGCCCACTTTTTTGAGTGGCTAATCCATTTCATATGTCTGGTTATTATTCATGGTTTACTAATATTTATAAATGAAAGAATTATTCAGTATGGGGTAACTGATGTGGTCACTGCCTGCAATTATGTGGGCTAATGTTTATTTTTTCCTCATTGATACCCCCCAGGCATGTGTAGAGAGGTGATAGGTTGGTGGTTTGATTCTTTGTCTGACTTCTCTTTTAAATATGTTGGATGAGAGCCGTCTACCTTTGGGCCTCTTGGCTGCCCTGTAGAATGAGGTGGGTGCATGTGGGTGGTTACTGTTCAGTGTGGGTGGCAAGGGTTCAATTATTTAAAAATGGTTGATTTAAGTACCTGATTAGATATTCACTTTATATCTATAGCATTTAACATGTTGTTATATTTCTTTATAGGAATACACATGGCTTGATAAAAGCCATTATGAAATTATTACAAATGCAAGCTCTTAAGGAAGGACAAGGTGGGGAGAAGAATATTCGGAATTTATATACTATTAGGTATGCCGTTTCTCCTTTAAAAAATTTGTGTATGTGTGTGAATTGTTAACTAAGTTATGAACAGATACACTAATCGATTAAGAATTATTTAATTCAACAGTGATGTTGGGTCTTAGACCTCTCAGGAAGTTAGTATTTCAAAGACATAGAAGATGGAGATAGATTTGAAAACATGCTGATATCACCATTGTGGGTTTCACGGTTGCTTCCTTGGAATTGGAATCTGTTCCCCAAAATTCTTTCTGCTCTGGGATATTTATAACCATCTTCCCAATACTATGAAAACTGAAAAGTTGATTGAGCAGATGTACTGAAAGCAGGAGGGGTTTAGGTAAGGTAGGAGGGTACTATAAAAAGTAATAGGCTTTTTAAGGGTTAATACTCAGGGCAAGGTTAGTAGGTAGGAGCACTGATTTGCCTTTTCTTTGTCATCTATATAATGTAACATGGTAGAATTATGTTAAAAAAAATACACATAGCAACAATTATAGTGAAATACATTGGATTTTATTGAGGAGTTTGGACAAGGGAAGGCATCGTACTTACTTGTAAAGTTGGCCCTAACATTGCCTTGAAGGTCCCAGAAAGCCATTTCTTAAGAGAGGGGCTCCTAATTCGTGAGCAGAGCATCCCAGAAGATGCCACGTAACTAGTGTATGTTGTAGAGTCCTGGGATCGAGTCCCTCATTGGGCTCCCTGCTCAGTGGGGAGTCTGCTTCTCCGTCTGCTGTTCCCTCTGCTTGTGTGTTCTCGCTGTCTCTCTCTCTCTTTCAAATAAATAAATAAAATCTTTATTCATTTATTTGAGAGAGAGACAGAGAGAGGGTGGGAGGGGCAGAGGGAGAGGGAGAAGCAGAGTCCCCCATAAGCAGGAAGCCCAGTGTGGGGCTTGATCCCAGGACGCTGGGATCATGACCTGAGCTGAAGGCAGACGCTTAACTGACAGAGCCACCCAGGTGCCCCTATTTATGATCTTTTTTATTGAGAGTTTAAGCCAATTTTTTAATAAGGGCAGATTTTCATTTTATGTATTTTTTTTCTTAACATGGTTTTTTGAATATTTTCAAACATACAGAAAATTTGGAAGAATGTAGGATAATGAATTAGTTAATTCATTGTTAACTTATTAATTCATAAGTTAATTTATTTTTAAATTTGAGAAGCAAAAGGAAAATTATTTTTTTGAAAATACCCTGGAAACCTGGGGTGTGTAAACTCTTCCAAAATGATAAATATGCTTTTATTTCTTTTTTTTTTCTTACATACTGTGGTGCTCTATGACCTAACAGGGTTTTCATTTCAGGTTTCTTTTTTATCCATTACCTTAACCAGAATTGAACCTAAGAAGAAGATGAGTAGATCTTAGTATTTCTAGATGAGTCATATAAATGTTTTTTTTTTTTTTTTTTAAAGAATTTCAAACTCTTGGGCCAGAATTCCAGGATAGAAGATAATTCCAGGGGCGCCTGGGTGGCTAAGTCGGTTAAGTGTCTGACTCTTCGTTTCAGCTCAGGTCATGATCTCAGAGTCCTGAGATCGAGCTCCACGTGGAACTCAGCTCAGTATGGAGTTTGCTTAAGATTCTCTCCCCAGACTCTTCCCCTCCCCTTGCTCTTGTTCACTCTTTCTTTCTAAAAATAGATAAATAAAATCTTAAAGAAAAGAGAGAGAAAATAATTCCATTTTATTATTGTTCAGTGGGAGTTATTTTAAAATAGGAAAGCCATTAAAGTTTTAAATTTTTATGTAAGTTTTATCGAGATATTCACATACCACAGGATCAACCCATTTAAAGTATACAACTCAGTGTTTGGTTTTTGTTTTTGTTTTTGTTTTTGTATATTCACAGAATTACACAGCCATTGCCATTATTAATTTTAGGACATTTTCACATCTCCCCGAATTCCTCACCCATTAGCAGTCACTCCATATTTCCGTCCTCCCAGTGGGGTATTTTTAATTCAATGGTTCGCAACACTGGCTGCTTATTAGAACCACCTGGGTGTGCTTAAAAACAAGCATAGGAACAATCAAATAACCCAGATCAACTGCATCAGAATCTCTGCTGTAAGGCCTCGGCATTTGTATTTCTTTTCTTTTTTTTTTAGATTTTATTTATTTATTTGAGAGAGAGAGCACATGAGAGGGGGGAGGGTCAGAGGGAGAAGCAGACTCCCTGCCGGGCAGGGAGCCCGATGCGGACTTGATCCCAGGACTCCAGGATCATGACCTGAGCCGAAGGCAGTCGCTTAACCGACTGAGCCACCCAGGCGCCCGGCATTTGTATTTCTTAAAAGATCCCAAGTGATTCTGATACAAGATGGAATGTCAGCTGCCCTAATGTGCATACTAATCGCCTGGGACCTTGTTGAACACAAGATTCTCTTTCTTTAGGCTGAGGGTGGGCTCAGGATTCTCGAGTAACAAGCTCCCAGGTGATGCTGACCCTTCTCTCCCCCACACTATGGGTAGTGGAGCTCCGCTTCGCCGTCAGCAGTACCTGGGAGCCTCTTGGAGAGTGGGGTCTCCTACTCCATCTCACACTACCTGTATCCGCACCCGCATTCCAGTTAGATTTTGCAGGTAATCCGTAGGCACCTTAACGTTTTAAGAAGCTCTGGTTTAGATGATGGTAAAAGGAAATTTCCTGCCAACAGAAGGGTTAGAGTTACTCTCCCTTTCCCACCGATTGTCCTTACCGTGTGTGAGTGCCGGACCTTCAGTCGTCCGTCACGCTTCACCTGTTTCCCTGCTTTATAATTCATTTTCTCCGCTGGTTGGTTCTTCAAAAGACAGTGGGTGCAAGGTGTGAATAGGGAACCCAGCTTGAGGAGCTGAAAGCATACTGGATACGTAAGTCGCGTCTTTAGAGCGGCGGCACATCGAGAGGTCCAGAATCAATCACCTGAGTTGGCATAATCCAGTAATGTTTATGGAGAGCCCTTATGTGAATGGCTGTGTGGCACTAAATCAGGAGAGTGTAATCGAGTGTATAAGAGCCTTCAGTTCCTCCAGGGGGGACTGTGGAGGGCGGGAACGCAGGAGAGGTGAGCCTGAAGAGCAGACACCCCTCAAGAGAGCTATGATTACCTGAGTCAAGCATAAAATTGCCCTGCTGTTTTAGAGCTTTCTATGCCACATGTTGGTTAGCAGTATCCTCCAGCTTCGGAGAGGCGACTGATGAGCTGCGTACGAAAGCACAAAAGGGTTGTGAGAAACGCAGAACTCCACTGAGAGGTGTTCTCTGGTTATGCTGGCAAATTAATTTCAGATGGAAGTTGTAGGACAGATAATTGGAAGCTTTCTGCGAATGAAACTCATCTGTGTGTGTGGTTTTTTTAAAGATTTTATTTATTTATTTGACAGAGACACAACGAGAGAGGGAACACAAGCAGGGGGAGTGGGAGAGGGAGAAGCAGGCTTCCCGCCGAGCAGGGAGCCTGATGCGGGGCTCGATCCCAGGACCCTGAGATCACGACCTGAGCCGAAGCAGATGCCCAACAACTGAGCCCCCCAGGCACCCCTCATCTGTGTTTTTTACGGTATTGAGGACTCAGCTAGTGTACAGTTTTGGAGTTTGCGCATTTTTCACTTCTTGTCCTAATAGCCGATTAATTTGAATTCTAGTACAACGGAATACGTGGTTGTTTTAAATAGGTTGGTGCTGAATTTGCTTACGCCAGTATGGAAGTGAAGGGAGGGGGCTGTGAGGACTGGAAATGTGAGCCAGTGGCTTCCCCTGGTTCCTGTGAATTTCATGGAAGGCGCTCTAGAGAGGGTATTCTCTTTGTTGAACCTAGAGCTCAGTGGTTCTCAAACTTTTTATGCCAAAGAAGTGCCTGGGGAGCTTGTTAACAGTGCAGCGTTTCAAGCCCTTGCTGGAGATTCTTACGCAGTTGGTTTTGCACGAGACTTAGGAAGCAGCATGTTTACCCAGCTGCTCAGTGATCTGGATATAGGTCATTTGTGGTTCACAATTGAGAAATACTGCTTGAGGCCGTGGGAGCTTAAAGGTACCACATAGAAGCAGCAAGGAGCCCCTTGGGGATACACCAGGGGGGATACTGAGTTGCTTAATCCTGTCTCCTGACCTCTGCTCCCTGTTGGGGGGCAAAAAGCCTGTTTCCTCCTAAGCGCCAAGGCACCGAGTTCATCAAACCACGTCTACCATGGACAATAGAGAGGCCAAGATTAGAACCAAAGAGCGTTTCTAAAGGAAAAGCAGACTAGTGAGGGCAAGCCAAGTACAAATGCAAGAGAGCATGTAAGAGATTTAAACCTCATTGCTCTATTCTTCTGTGGCCCCAGCAAGTGAGTGTTCTTCATGGTCAGATGGTAGATGCTTGTTTGGAGCAGGAGGAGAAGAGAGCCCTCAGCAACTCTCAAAAAAGCAACACTGGTTTTCAGTGTTTACCGTGCAGCAGGAGCTCACGCTCCGAGTTTTTGTTATGTATGTGTGGAACATGACCGGAAACCTGCATTTTAACAAAATTTAGATGCATAGGTAGTCTACTGACCTTGCTTTGAGATATAGTAGACTAGAGTGTGTATGGCTAATGAAGTTCATTTTGCTTAGTTGGACCCTTCTTTAGTTTTGTGACTTAAGATTAAATGGGGATGTTTAAATGTGGTTTCAACTCTGATGATTTTTAGGATAGGGTTAGCTGGAAGAACACCACAGCACATTTATACTTAGCATATGTTATGTGTGAAACTCTAGGTGCATGAATCTCGACTCTGGTTGCAGAATAAAGCCTTTGAGGAGCTTTTATTTTATTATTATTATTTTTTAAAGATTTTATTTATTTGAGAGAGTACAAGGGGGTTTGAAGGAGAAGCAGACTCCCCACTGATCAGGAAGCCCCACAGGGGGCTTGATCCCAGGACCCTGGGATCATGACCTGAGCTGAAGGCAGACACTTAACGACTGAGCCACCCAGGTGCCTTGAGGGGCTTTTAAATGTACAGGTGCCTGGGCTTTCCCTAGAAGGACTGGAGGG